ATCAGTACACCAGTATAGTACACAAGTATAGTACAGTACAGTGGGTAATATGGTCATCCGGTTAGTATGGTCATTTTCTTATAAATCAAAAGCTACAGCTATGTTTGCATAGATGGCTTTCTGATATGATACCTCTACATCGGTCACTCAAATAATAAAGGGTCAAAAAGGCGATGCTTTATCGATGCCATTTTGACAGTTGACATTATAGTAAATATTTTAGTCGATATTAGTATTGTGTAGTGCAGTTAGTATGTTTAAGTAGATTTTTCGAAGTGTTCCTAATTATTGGCAAAGCTTGTTTGCTATTTTTTCTTAATATATTAATTTTTAATATATGTAATTTTTTTTTTTGAAAATTATTTAATTCATTAATATAATATTTAACATTATAATAAATAACTTAACTAAAATAATAATTAAAATTATAATATTTACGATTAAAACTAATTATTTATACACTATAAAAGAAGAAACTATAATATAGAAAACCTAAAACTAAAAATTTTAATCGTCAAAAAGACCTGCTCCCCGTGGTATAGTGCCAACAACGCTGGCTGCGTTTCCTCGCTGAATAGCTATACTTAGCCTTTGAGCGAGGAAAGAACCAGCCCTCTTATCACCAGCAGCGACGACCAGTCGTGGATACAGTTCCTTTAGAAACTTCATTGCACGTGGACCCCACGGACCGATAGTCTCTACAGCAAATGGCACAAATATGTAGTCATTTCTCAAAGACTCATATTTGCGCCATTTACTAAATTCGGCTGCCTCTGATGCCGCCCCGGCTCTACAAAAGGTACCCTTGAGATGAGAGGCCGCCAAAGTGTCAACGCAAGTAGCATCCCACACTAGGGCTTTACCTCTCTCCCAAGGGACCAAAGTCATACCGTCGGGTCTCTTGCCATCGATATATTAATTGTAGTACACGACTTTTTCTTTTTGTCTCCGTCTTCCTCATATTTTTGTTTTCATAAGGTGAAAATGCTTAAGGTGACATTATCCTCACGTAAGTAAGTTCTGAAAACAACTATATTTAAACTTATTCTGTAACAGTACTTCGAGCATTAAATCTACTCTTACAATAGGTTTCGTAAGCAGTGATTGTGAATTTATTGTGCTGATATTTTTTTTTAATTTATTAAGGTTTACCAATGTTTGATTACACTGTATTTAACAAAATGGCTTAAGAACTAACTTACGTAGCTAAGTGTAACAATCGTTTAAGGTAAACACCACATGCATCGAGAAAGATTATAAATACGTATAAAAAATATAAATTACCTAATAATGAAAAAAGTACGTGGTAAAAGCTATTATTATTTATTTGTTGGTATCAGACCAGGCTAAAGCTAGAACTTCCTTAATTTTGGCAAATGAGTCTGCGTGAATGTCAACTTTGTCACTATGTCCATTGACCAATTTGCACAACCTTGGAATTGGGGAGTTTGCACCTAAGACAGATTTTCTAAAAGGAGGGAAAAGTGAAGTAATAGGGGCGCGAGGAATTCTCAATGGAACACGAAATTTAAATTTTTGGAGCAAGAGGGGACAGTTAATTTTTTGATTAAAAATTTTTACAAGAAATGACAGGTCAAGCAAATGTCTCCGATTTTCCAGGGATAAAATTTTAAAGAATCTTAATCGTTTTTTGTAAGACCGAATTTTTTTGTGAATCCCATTCCAATAGGCCAAATTTGCCACGAACTTTTTTCGCAGACGTTCCAATCGTAAGGAGTGTGTCGCGTAATGTGGCCTCCATACTACACTGCAATACTCAAGTATGCTTCGTACGAGGCTGTTGTACAGTAGGATCTTAATGTGATTATTTTTAAACACTTTAGCGTTACGCAAAACAAAGCCTAGCATTCTATACGCCCTTTTTGTAATATTCTCGATGTGGGTGTAATTTTTTTATCGAACACTATTCCCAGGTCTCTGACTTCCTCTGTTTTCTTAATGATGTGGCCGTTAATTTTGTATGATGTGTTCAGTGACTTGATCTTTCCACTGAATTTCATATGGTAGCACTTGCTTATGTTCAGGTACATACCATTGTCTTGATACCAATTTACCATACGGTCAACATCACTTTGAAACTGTTCGATGTCCTCTAGAGTTTCGCAGATGCCAACCAATTTCAAATCATCGGCATACATAAATGGTATGGAGAACTGGAAGCAACTAGGGATGTCATTGATGAAGGTGTTGAAAAGCAGAGGACCTAAATGTGATCCCTGAGGAACCCCCGAAGTAATTTTGTATGGTGCAGACTCAAAACAATTAAAGACCACACTAAAACTACGATTATCCAGATACGACTGCAACCATCCCAATAATGAGCCAGTAATACCATATGCACGCAATTTAGATATAAGAATATTATGAGGTACTTTGTCGAATGCCTTACTAAGGTCTGTATATATTACATCAACATCCCTACCGTTATCTACTGCTTCTACCAAAGTTTCAGTAAACAAGGTCAGATTGGAACAGGTTGACCTAAATCTAACAAAACCGTGCTGCCACTCAAGGTGGTAAGGTAAGATAATGATTCAAGTGGTTCTGCAGCACAGGATAAACAAGAGATTCAAATATTTTACTTAAAATTGACAGTATTGAAATAGGCCTATAATTACCTACCACCTCGACGTTATCGGCTTTGTGAATGGGAACAACTTTGGTGGACTTCCAAACATCAGGAAATAGGCCGGATTGAAGAGACTTCTTAAAAATTAGATATATAGGCGTCACTAGCTCATCCGCACATGCCTTAATAAATAAAGGAGGGACACAATCTGGTCCTGGGCCCTTATTAAGATCTAGAGACTTCATGCTCTTCAGTATCTGATCCTTGCTAAAGTAGGGAGCAGTTAGTTCAAGGCTGTAATTGCAAATCAAATTCCATTGGCTGACATTCAAGTCTGAGTTTATGTAATCTTGAGAATTATACATAGCTCCAAAATAGTAGTAGTAGTAGTATTTGCGTACAATAAGTCGCAGATTTCCCTAGGACTAGATGACTTCTTAATGCCATCAGTCATTGTACAAGGATAATTACTTTTCCCGTACTTCTTTGCCTTAATAAATGACCAAAAAAGACTGTCTTCTGTCTTCTTTATATAATTTTTATAAGATTGATTTGCTAGTGTGCAGCAACGCTTATTAAGTAGCCGCAACTCAACCTCGTCCATGTGATTCCTATATTTTTTATACCGTTTTCTTATGTTCTCCTTTTCACGTAACATTCTCTTTAATGAAACATTAAACCAAGGAGGAGAAGAATTATTTCTTATTTTTTTGTAGGGCACATATTTATGCCTATTAAATTATTAATTATATCATACAATAAGTTTGTCATCTCATTAAAATTCAGGTTATGAAACATTTCATTCCAGTCATATTCGGCTAAACAAAGGCGGATTTGAGTATAATCGGCTTTCCTAAAATTGTGTATTTTAGTATCGATGTTATACGGTAGTGCAGTATCAGTATTTCTTTTTATTAAAGTTTTCGAGAGGGGGATGTAGAGGATCTACGACACTAAGGATATTAACTGATCCTGCAACTGTACACATGGACGACGATAGGTTGGTCAGTACAAGGTCTAACAAGCGGTCCGATTTGTTAAGAATGTTATTCATTTGATTAAGCTTGTTAAGATGAACTAAATCTATCAATGCTTGGCTTGGACTAGGAGCAACATAGTTATTCGACAAATCATGTACCAAACTCCAATTTATATTACCTAAGTTAAAATCACCAATAAAGCACTGGTGTGAATCAAATTTACTTGTTATGACTGAGGTACAATTTTCTACAAAATACTCCAACATTAGCCTGTTCACCGGAGGTGGTAAGTAAACACTGCAAAGAGCTATTTGATGGACAGAGTTTTCAATTTTCAAATCCAAATCTACCCAAATATCTTCACATTTACTTTCCCATTCAAACTTCCGAACCGATTTGATAGTTTTTAGTACCGCAACTAAGACTCCTCCCCCATCCTTATTCTCATGAAACCCCGTACTTTCCCGGTCTCTTCTGTATATCTCGTATCTGTCATCAAATAACTCATTGCTCATAACGCTACTATTAAGTCAGGTTTCAGTTAAAACTATTACATCATAATTATTACAATTGACTTCCCTTAAAAAGTTGTGAGTTTTCGTATGCAACGCACGAACATTTTGGTAATATATTCTTATCTCTTTTAAAATGGGTAAAATAGGGTACATTCAAAATGTAAAAAAATAATAAGTTAGGTTTGGAACTAAGGCAACTTGTCAAGTGTCTCTATGTTTCTGATGATTTTAAATTCAGAGTCTTCAGTCTTCCTCATGAAAATGCGACCGCCTCTCACCCAGACATATTTATAACCTTTGTCCTTTGCCGCCTGTCTTGCTGCGGCATGGAGGGCCCTGTTGTGGGTGGAGAGATGTTCACATATAAAAATTGGAGTTTTAGCACCGGAAACACCAGCGTGAGAACTGTTTAACCTTTCTTGAGGCTTCAGTTTATTATATTTGATTGCTGCTGCCAAGAATTTGTCCCTCATACTCGGCAAGTTAAATTGCACTACAATAGACCTAGGGCGGCTGGAATCTTTATTTAGTTTAACAATACGGGTGTAGTGGGCTAAGTGTTCCGTGGATACTTGACAATTAATTGTTTTGCCTAGTTCTGTTACGATGTGCAACAGGTTCTCATCTTTCCTCTCGGGTACACATTGGATCTCAATTTTATTCATTCTAGCATTTTTTCCATTTGATTAAATCGATTAGACAAGTCCTTAACCTTTGACTGCAGTGCACCGTTCTCCGCCTCTAGGCGTTTTATTTTTTCATTGGCCTCTGCATGCTCCTTTGTGATAGATTCATATTTTGTATTCATGAAATTCATAGACTCCTTCATATCCACTATTTCCTCCTTCAAAGATTTTAGTTCAGTGCCTAGGATGTCCGATATGCTGATGCGCATTGTTTTTTGGAATTGAGTCACTACGATATACGATCCTTGATAATTTCTTGCATCTCGTCCCTTGTTATTGGCCTTTCATCTGAAGCCTTTGGTGGGGAGTTCAAAGCTTGCCTCTTTCTCACAGTTATATTTGGGTTGTAGCGAACCGGGGTGTTATCATTATTACCCAATTTTTGCGTTCCATGACATTGAGGGCACAGCCACGTAGACGTGGTAGGATCGTCTTCATTGCTTGGTATTGACAGACATTCAAGATGATAAAGTTTGGTGCATTCTGTATATTGCATATAGTGCTGGTCCTGCAGACCAATCGAGCAACACCCCCAGACAAGGTTTTTGTGTCCTTTTGCTGCCATGTTCACTTTCAATATAAGATATTTCTTTAATTAGAAAAGAAAAAAAAGAAAAAGAGAAAAAAAAATCTTCCTTGTGATTCGATCTTGGGTCTTCCCGAATCGATGCGCAACGAGCTCTATCCACTACGCTGACAGTACATTAGTAGTAATGGGCGAAAATAGCATATAGTTTGGTACACAGTCGGAACACGCGATAACACTATGAGATCAAAGTCTAGTCTTTTGTGTTCCACTATCGAAGTTATAAATTAAATGTCACAGTACCCTACACAAGATTCACTGAATCAATGTTTTCACCCCTTTTCATTCCAAATTTTATTGTTTAAATTACACGACACAAAAGCTCTCAGTCTGCTAAACGTTTATAGTATATATTTCTAATAAAAAAGGTAACTTTTTCACCACTTTGGAATAAAAATCTAAGAACGCCATGTAACACGTCTTTCTCATGTAAACTCACAAAACAATAGTCCTTGATATGTGGAAGCTTTTTACTCGCATATACATTTTAATATAGTTATCTAGATTGTAAATGTAGCTGTAAGCTATATATAAGCCCCGAATAAAATAAAATATCTTCGCAGATTCTTTCGCCGTTTCGTCTCTGACCAGAGAGACCTCATTTCAAAACGGTACTAAATTTAACCAAAATTACATTTGAAAAATTAATTTTATTTTCTTACGTCGCATAAATAAATATATTTATTTCTTTGCCATGGTTTTACATGGTAGAGCCATGCTGAAGCTATAATCGTAGTACAGTTGTAGCACTAATGGGTCGGCTCAACCGGGGAAGGACCACGCTTTCATTGAATACCAGCGTGAAATAGCAGCTTACAGCTTAATAGTATTTCGTATGATGAGTGTAGAGAACCGGAGACCTTTTTTTACTGGAAACGAGGCATTCTATCTTAGTCCTTACGGGTGACAACGCATCTGTATTTTAAATCTTAATCGTGGATAGATATAGATGTATACGAACTGAGGCAACCACTTTTTATAAGATAAGGGTGACAAACGAGTAAACTGTGTACCTGATGGAAAGTGGTAGCTGTGGCCCATAACTTACCATGACGTGGACTAAAAAAAAGCTTCTTGCTGTAACATGTTGCTGTCCATATACTGTTTCAGTTGCCCTCTGTCGCCTCTTATGACTCCACGGTATAATATGTCGTAGTGAAATCTCTCATGTAACCCCTACACGGCAACAGTTAACAACTTCAACTAAATGCCGAGACATTACTGTCCGATACTTCAATTTATATAATACTGGCAACCCACCCGGCTTGCCTGGATATGTTATTTAGTTTTAAGACAATCAGAGACTATTTACTATATCAGTTCTTAGTTCGAAAAATATCTAGTTTTTCGGATAAGATATGATGACCTTGATCTCTCCTGGCTTTGTTCTCTATCTGTTCGTAAAGTTTCATCACCATTGGTTCAGCTGTTCTAAAGATATGGCCGGATATAGTCTGGAGTCTTGTCGTCGTATTATGCAAATAAACCCCTGAGCTTAAAGCCCTGTATTCACTTTGATTAGTATTATGTTTATATAATTATATAATAACATAAATATAGTATTATATTTATATTATTATATAGGATTGTGCAGGTGATTAGTGTAGGTGCTTAATGATTAGGAGTAAACACGTGTGGACAGTGATTGATTAGTGCAAGTGATTAGTAATCTACGTAGTAAAGTCATAAAAAGCGTGTATTTTTATCCGAGTGAACTGCGAGTGTCCCCGTCCCGTGCGTTCTCCCTTTCCCCTCATTCGCAGGATGTCTGCCAATAAACACGTCTGGCCAGCAGTGTTTAGTGTTTATGCTATTAGTGTTGCGTCGGGCGCTCGCTTGTGTTACAAAAAATGACCGAAGACATAGCCTATAATTTTGTGAAGGAGTACCTAAAAATGAATGTTTTTACAATAGTAACTACCCCTAACCCTAACTGCAAAATTAAAGGAGCCCCAGATGTGGCATTTATACGTATAAGTGAAGCTATGAACATACCGGGGTTTAACAGAGGTTAAACAGAGTACTTGCTGGTCAACGGCAAACAACTGAATTTACTAAGCACAGCCACTAAACAGAATTGGACACTACTTACACTACAAACCTGCACTAATCACCCGCAATTACTAATCACCTGCACTCACACTAATTAAGGCGAATACAGGCCTTAATACAAGCCATTTATTTCAATATTACAGAGAGAAACTTACTTTTATTTATATGTGTGTATAAATCATTTTAGATGTAATATTCAGACACGTATGATAAGATATAATTCATGTTTTATTTTTATTTTCATACTATTTTATTAAATTACGTTTCACATTTAATATTACATAACATAATATAAACAACATAATAAAAATAGAAGTACAAGAGCCACGCTGCAGCTCTATATTGTAGATGTAGCTGTAGCGCACTATAGCTGCAGTACATAGAATACTAGCAAAAATAGCAACTCAATGCTGCTGTGTTTCGTATGGTAAGTGTAAAGAACCGGAGACTCTTGACTGCTACGAGGCATTATAGTAGATGTCTATGGGCCACAGCATCCACTTACCATCAGGTGGGCTGGTGCTGGTTTGTGACCCTTATTCTATAAAAAGAATATTAGTGTATATGACTTATTAGTCCTAAAATATCTGTTCGTCTAGAACTTCATCGACCATTGATTTTATGTGACCATATCAAAAATAGATTACGGGAAGATACGAACGGAAGATGCCTTTATTCGGTAGTGGAATTTGTCTCAGGAATGAAGGGAGGCCTGTGCCCATCTGTGGCACATATATAGGCTGTAACCTTTACTGAAAGAAGACTGTTCATTTACCGAAACTATTCTATAAACTTTGATATGTATATCACAAAAATCTTTTCAAAATTGGAAGCAAAATATATAAAAAATATTGGCCGAGTGCGTGTCGGGCTACGCACAATGTAGAGGTAGAGTTCCGTTGTTGCCCTTCACAATGCGTCGTCCTCTCTACCTATCCCGCAAATGAAAATGTAAAGCTATGGTAACAATGCATAAAAGTCGTTTCTTTCATAAAATATTTGTTTCTATACAGTTTACAATAACATTACTAAGTTATAATGCAGCTAGTTTTAGGTAATTTTCTACGGAGTTGTAACGAAATTTTTACTAATTCAAGTACGTTTTATAAGTTGGTCGACTGTTTCTCGTTAACTTGTTGATTCTACTTAGCTATGGTAGTTTTAATTTAAACTTCATTTTATATACCACTATCGTGTACACTTTTCACTTTTACAAAAAGCGGTAGTAGTGGGAGGGACACATGACTCTAATGAAAAATACCACTTCAAAGCTAAATATTTCGCAAACAGACCCCTGAATCGAAAGTTATTGTACCATACTCTAGTGTTTTTGAAAGACCTATCCAACGATACCTCACACGAAAGAATAAACGGGTAAAAATAAATCTTCCTCCATTAACTATGCCAAATTTCAGATTTGTGGCACCTAAGGTCTCTGAGTAAAACCATGGACGGACGGATATGTCGAAACTATAAGAGTTCTTTGTTGTGTAACTACGGAACCCTAAAATAAGGCGTAAATATTTTGAATTTAAATTTAATATTTATATCAAAAAGTTAAATTTTCCATCATCAATTCAAAATGATGATTTCATGTTTTAAATTTATTCAATACTCAGATAAAAGTTAAGAAAAGAATTTTAATTGCGTTACCTTTCCTATGGCCAGAAATTTACCGAGCTATGAGTCTCAGGTGCAAATGTAGGTTAATTTTAATATTACTACTGTTATTAGTCCTACCTACTACTGTTATTAGTCCTACCTACTAATTGAATCACCAACTTTTTAAAGAAATGTTTTAATCATTTATTTATTTATTTTTGCATTTTGAATGAAATTAACATAAATTATATCACCAAATAAAAGCGCACTGCTGTTTCGCGCCTCGGGAGTAGTGCCACCATGGAGGACGGAAATAAAGAGGTTCTGAAGGACTTCAAGTACCGGTTTTACACCCGCTTTCAGAAGCTCCGCTGTAATTCCATCCTCGCCCAGGGACTTGCCAGATGCTGGAGAATAATTATATAACAATATTATATTAGTATTTTTTACACTGATATTCCTTTTATAGAATAAGGGTCACAAACCAGCACCAGTCCACCTGATGGTAAGTGGATGCTGTGGCCCATAGACATCTACTATAATGCCTCGTACCCGTCAAGAGTCTCCGGTTCTCTACACTTACCATACGAAACACAGCAGCATTGAGTTGCTATTTTTGCTAGTATTCTATGTACTGCAGCTATAGTGCGCTACAGCTACATCTACAATATAGAGCTGCAGCGTGGCTCTTGTACTTCTATTTTTATTTAAAAATAACATTACCCACACACAAAGATTTTCTTTATCGTGTATACAGTTTACAAGCATAAATTGCACAAGGGCAAACATCCAGACCCGGAACAATTATTTGTAAGCCATACAAATTATTGTCTCATGCGGGATTCGAATCCACGGCCCTCAGCGCTGCAACTCAAGTGTAAGCCACTGATCCGTCGGTACGTATATAGCGGTGGGGCCACATTGTACGAGGGTGGATTGAAAAGTATTCGGCCTAACCAAGAAAATAAATACATACTAAATCAGTTATATTTTTATTTTTCTACATAATCACCATCAAGTTCAATACACTTTTGCCACCTCCCCTTCCAAGCATTTAGACCGTTGAAAAAAAATGATTCTTCCTTAGAGTCAAAATATGCGTCTACAGCTGCTTTGACCTCGTCGTTTGTCGAAAATCTTTGACCTCCCAAGTGCTTTTTTAGGTTAGGGAACAGAAAGAAGTCTGATGGTGCCAGATCAGGTGAATACGGCGGATGCGGTAACAGTTCAAAGCCACAGTTGTGAATTTCAGCCATTGACTGTACTGACGTGTGAACACGGGCGTTATCTTGATGAAACAGGACTTTTCTTCTGAGCATTCCTCG